CTGGCGCCCTAGCTGCTGAGCTATGGGCGCCAAGCCTGCATTTCCCTTTTCTTAGTGAGGTTGACAACCTTTTGGTGTGTTCATTGGAATTTGGGTTTCCTCTTTAGAGAAGTAGCTGTTAGCGTTTCCTGACTGTTGGTCTGTTCAGTTCCTTTTCTTTCTGGTTTGTAGACCCTGTGCTGGTTCAGTGGCAGTGCCTTTTGTTCTGGGCTGGGACAGACACTCTGCCTGTCCTGGCATCACATCCATGCTGTTGAAGAAGTTGTTGCCTCCATAGCTTGGGAGGGTGTCCTGTAGTTTGTCTTCTGAAAGACGAGGGTTTCTTTTCATCTTAGTTCTTTTAGAGATAGGATCCTGCTCTGTCACCCAGCCTGCATGCAGTGATGTGATCACAGCTCTCTGTAACCTTGCCCTCCTGGGCTCAAGGGATCCTCCCTCTTGGCCTCCCAGGGTACTGAGGTCACAGGCTGAGCTTCCACCCCCAGCCCATGGCTTTGTCACAGTCAGGCTTTAAAGTTTTTTAGGATTGTTGTAGCTCTTTATATATATTTTTGAGTTAGTTTGTCAAGTTCCACCCAAAAAGTTTTTGGGAATTTTGCTGAATTGCTATGACTCACCCTGGGGCAGAGGGGTGGTGGATTGTTTTACTGTAAAAGTCTCAAGGATTGATGTTGCAGGCCACACCAGCTCTTTGGGGGTAGAGGTGACTGGACAGCAGGGTACGTGTTGCTGCTTGCTGGTGGTCAGGGCTTCCTGTTGTGGTGTGGTATATCACAGATCTGTGTTATTGTCAAGTGTTGTGAAGTATTAGTCTTTTTTTGTTGTTAATTTCAGATTAATATAAGGTTACAATGTTTGCATTTGTTAGGTGAAGGCCCTGTTGTGTCCCACACCCAGGAGGTGTGCCATGTGCCCCTACGTGGTATCCATTAGGTGGGAGCACACTCATCTCCCTCCCTCTCCTTTCCCCCCTCTATGAACTTTTTACTCTGTTGGCGCCCCCCACAATTTAAAAGCGTAAGCTACTGTCACGAGCTGTGGGCCGCCCGCACTGCACCTCTTCTCTTAATATGATAGAGCTGTGTGTTTTGGATTTAAACATTTATCCCAATTATTTTATAATTTTCTGCATAGGAAGTCTTTGGTCCTTCTTTCATCAGATGTATTTCTAGGCTCTTGATATAATTAACATAGTTATAAATGGCATATTAAATTTTCTTCTGAGTTTTCTGAAGGCTTTCATTGTTTGTCCAACATTGTTAATAGGGATCATTTTTATTTGATTTATGGTTGATTTTTTAGCTTGCTTTCGTTTATTTATGCATTTAAAAATGTGCAAATTTATACATTTTAAAATGTATATATATATAGAGAGTTTAATCAGAATTTAAAACATTGTATTTCTCTCCCTTTGAGGAAGGCCTCTTTGCTAACCTCTGCAAAACCTGCTCAGGTGGTTCCTAACACCTGTCTGCACCCTGTCTGGTAGGGTGTGCACACTCAACTCCACACTTGGGGTGCTGCAGGGATGTTCAAGTCCTCAGATGGTCTGCATGTTGTTGGCCCTGAATTCAGGGCAGAGGGGCTGGCTAGGGTAAGGGGCAGGTCAAGTCTAATGTCCCTGTTTGTTTTTTCTGAGTCCACAAGGACTGTTTTCTGGAATTTTGCAGGTTGAAAACTTGCTGCTTAGTAACCAGGGGACCATTAAGCTATGTGACTTTGGCAGTGCCACAACCATCTCACATTTCCCGGACTACAGCTGGAGCGCGCAGAGACGAGCCATGGTGGAGGAAGAGGTGAGAACACAGGGCCTCTGTATGGGTAGTACGCCCCACCCACCCCACCCCCACGGTCTACAGTGTCCCTTTCCCTGGGTCTCTTTCTAGCCCATAGGTTCTTTGCGCACTGTGTCTCTATAGCCCAGAACCCAAGAAGGTGCCATCACCTGGTGTCCATGGGGCTGGCCCTCCTCCAGGTGGCTTATGGGCCAGTCATGGACATAGACCAGCCAGCCAGGGGACCGCGTGTTGTCTCAGCCCTCCTCACAACTCTGCCTCTGAATGTCTTATGGCCATTTTTTCCTTGGATTTCTTTTTTGTGGTAAAACACACCTGACAGAATTCACTGGTGTAACCTTTTGTTGGTGTACAGTTTGGTGGGACTAAGTATAATACCTTCATGATATTGAGCAGCCACCACCACTGCCTTCTCCAGAAGGTTTTTATCCTTTCAAATATGGCTTTTTCTATTTAAAAAAAAATTCTAGAAATATGTTTTCATGGGAGGTATAGCATCTCCATCCAGGAGAGCCTTGCACAGCTTGGGACAGTTGGGTGGGCCACTGCCGCCTAGAGGGAGAGCCAGATGGGCTGCGACACTGCAGAGGGCTCCTTGGGCTCTCAGGGGTTCTCTCTTCAGTGAGAGCCGGGACCTGGCACTGCCTGTGCAGTATAGCCTCAGGGTCCCCAGCTGTGGCACCAAGATGACAGATCCAAGTGTGAGTTCAGGATTTCTGTGTAGCCCCTATCCCCACCTCAGCAGGGCCAGGTGTGCTGTCAGACCCAGTGCCAAGAACCCCCGGACTTTTCCTTTTCCTCCTTGGTGCAGTTCTGTTGCTCTTTGGAAAGACATTTGGGTTTGTCTGTTCACATTAATGGGCTTTACTGTTTAGACCAGTGTCAGGCTCACAGTGAGGTGGGGAAGCACCAGTGGCCTTGTGCACCACTCGATTGTCCTCTTGCTGCTCCTAATCTCTTCTTCCCCAGCCTCTGCCTGGCTTCTTTAGATTCTGCCGTGTCTTGGGGTTGTAGGCGTTGCGTTCTGCATAAGCCTTTGTCAGTTACCTGCATCCATCTGTTCTCAACATCTGTTTGGAAGGACTGTTTTCTGGTTTTCAACATCTGTTTCTCCATCCTCAGCACAGCTGCTCTGGAGTAGCTGATCCACACACAAAAAGGCTGGGGTATTCTTCATTCCTTCTCCATTGTGTTTAAGACATCTCCACCCAGCCCTGACGCAATGTCTGCAGGGTCTTTCTGCCCACTGCACGGGGACACCACACACTTTGGGTTGGGCTGCCGTGCCTACTGTGCACTGAGATTCTCACTGTCCATGCAGCGTACAGCCCATAGACCTTGCCCCATCATCTGTCCCTTTTTGTGTTTGTGGGTCTCTGGGTTTTTAAACTAGAACCAGCCCTGTAGGTGTGGTTGAGTTGTCTCTTCTGCTGCAGAAATCAGTGTTCTACTAAAAACCAGCAAGAAGCTCTGTTAGTGCTGCACTCCCTGTGCACTCCAGCAGTGAGGCTCCTGGCCTGGCCTGCCTGCTGCAGCTCCTTGTTCCCTGACTATGGCAGGGCGTGGCAGGTGGGGTGTATGGCAGGCAGAGTGCATGGCAGGCAGGGTGCACAGCAGGCAGGGGGTACAGCAGGTGGGCGCTGCACGTAATCACTTTGTTAAATGTGGGAGGTCACAAGAGATGCATGGAAATGAGTTGAATCTGAAGAGCAAGTGCAGTGGAGGTGGTGAGTGGGGCTCTGAGATCTTGTGGAATGCAGGGAGGACAGGGTGCCCTGTGGGCTTGGGAAAGTTGCAGAGCATTGATGCAGAGTAAAAAGTCCTGCTCACATGTAACTTTTCCTTTGAAATGTCTGTTTTTCCTCAGATCACAAGGAATACAACACCCATGTACAGGACACCAGAGATCATTGACTTGTACTCCAACTTCCCAATTGGCGAGAAGCAGGACATCTGGGTAAGGACCTGGCGCTTCTCCCTGGAGGTG